CCTCTTTAGTTTTTGTTGCTCCTCTAAAGCAGTGCCCTGTTACCCTCAGACTGGACTATTATAGCCTAACAGAAAAAGTGGTCATATGTTTGGTAAACAATGATGTGAACCCCCTGGTAGGCTCTCTGATGTCAGTTCCTCTCTCTTTAATCACCCCACATGCTATGATCTCCCTAAAATACTATTTTAATCGTATCATATTATTGCCTAAAGGATTTCTGCAAAAAATCAATTTTAAGACAAGAAATATCGATGATTTCTTTTGTTTGGGTTTTTTTTTTCATGAACATCATTCTTTCTACTAAATCATGTTTGGGTGTTTCTACCTGGACCATGCATTACTTTCATAATCAGAGGGAAATAATAAAAGTATCATTTTTATATCTTTTATGATTTGAGAGATTCACTCACATATATTTTTGCTTTCTTTGTCCTCAGAAGTCTTATATGAAATTTGTAACATTGACATTCAAAGTGAAATACGTTTTTAGAGCCCCCCCCACCGTCTACAAAATGAAATCCAAAATGAGCCTCCTTGCCATCACCCTCCACAGCCTGACCACAAACTCCTCCATGGAACTTTGTCTTCCGTGACTGTTACCGAGTAAAGGGCTCATGTGCCTGAGGTGCAGAAAGCCACACTCTGACAGTGAGAGTTTGCAGCAAAGTGAAGGGCTTATTGCAGGACACCAAGCCTGGGAGTGGGAGATGAGCCTCAGACCCACTCCCACTTGGTCTTTGAGTTGGGGGTATTTTTAAAGAGGAAGAACAAAGAGGCTGGGATTAAACATCTTGTGACATTTCTTTATTTGTAGTTTGAGGGTCAGGATGTCTCTGATTTATGATTCTCTGGCCAGGTGGTCCGTGGCTGGGGGTCTGTGAGCTCACCTTGCCCTGGAAAAACAACCTGAGATTGTACATTAATAATGAAATCTGCAACAGCATTTTCAGTACATTAACGATGTTATCGACAACAGCAATCAGTCGTCTGACTCTGGGTGATTAGTGTTCAGTTAGCATAGGGCTGATGTCCGAGGGGACAAGAAAAGAAGAAAGTTTTGGATTGAGAGATGAATCAGAAACTCAGAGAAGGAACTCAGTTTTGGGGCCTCGGTTGCATGACTGCCGGGCCTCCATTCCAGGCAGTGCCGGCTGTCAGCCCTGCAGCTCTGTCCCCCTGCTCTGAGCCCCAGTCCACCTCCACCCCTGCCCGGCCCCATCTGAGTCCTCTAGTCCGTCCACCGTTAGTTGAAGCCTGGAATTTTAAAGGTGGGAAGAGGCTTCCAAGCTCTCTGATCCAAATCTCTTATTTTACAACAGAGGAAACTGAAATCCAGAGCTGAAATGACTTGTCCACAGTGTGCTGACTGGAGCACAAGGCACCAAGTCTTGTGACTCCCAATCTAATGCCCTTTGCATTTATTACGTGGCCATGTTCCCTGACTGTAAGCTCCTTCAAAGTAGCGTTTGTGTCTTAACCATCTTTAGATGTTCACTGGCTGGTGTTTCTTCCCACCTAATATACAACAGGAAGGTTCTATGTTTTTAGCTTTATTCAGATCCCTACTAGTGTTCCTAAGTTTAACCTTAATACCTACAGAACAGTAATCATGTAATATCCTCTCTTTCCCTCTTTGATTTTTACCATAAAATTAGCAACAAACTTAAAATTTAATAAGAAATCACAGTGGAAATATCATTCAGTAAAAGCATCAACAGATGTACAGCGACTTACTTAGAGACACTTAGAGACATGACAGATCCTGAAATGCAGGGTCAGTCCCATCATTTTTCTGGTTATTCTCTGGTATTAAGAGGTCCTGTCACTTTTGGTTACATGTATGCACACAGAAGTCTATATTTGGTAATTACTATGTTGAGCCCAATAAAATTAAGTGCCCTCTTCTCAGCTTGGGTCTTCTCTGGTCTGGCTGCCTGTCCCTGACTCATGAGGCTTCACTGCACTCCTGCAGGATTGAATCAGGTTGAAGGAAGAGAGGTGGGGGGGGGGAGATTCTTACTTGATATATAAGGATGAGACATACGGATTTGCCACTATCTTTTCTACAAAAATGGCAGTTTAGTATGGTTTAAACACGACTGTCCTCAGCTGGCATTGGAGCACTCTGGGCTTGGCAAGCATTTAAAATGAACACCTTTCCTTCTCAGAGCTCTTCTGTGGGATCCTTGGAGCCACCCCTACCATTGCTGGCGCTTCTTTCATCCAGAGTGTCTTTGATGCTTTGCCTCTCCCATCCGGCTGGCAGCTTGTAGCTGCGGCCGCAGCTCCTGAGCACCTCCAGTGTACCTCCAGCTGCCGTCTCTGTGGGCTGCCTTATGCCTCTGGAGGCTGGTTTTGATCGGGATGGAAGACAGCCTCATGCTAGTGCTCTCTTTTTTGCACATCTGGTTGAGGGAAAAACTCTCTTTGCTCCCCGAAACTCAGCAGGCTCAGACCACCCAACACAGCACCCTCTCTGAGCTCAGCCCTCCATGAAATGGGTCAGTAATAATATTTTTCTCTCCAGGTTTTTCGGACAAGTGCAGTGCTTGCCCACTGACAACTTGAGGTCGCTCCCAGGGACACATACCCAGCTCTCTGGATTGTCTAGTTTGCCCTTGGCTTGAAGTGAGGGTCAGGCAGCTCCCACCCGATCCTGGGGGTGGGGTGTGTGTGACTCCTAGCACATCCAAAGCTTTCTTCTAGACTTTCTTTCTAGTTTGTTTTCATTTTGACCCTTTTGGTCCAGAATTGTAAAACCAGTTTTCAGGAACCTCCTTTGCAGGTCCTGTGGTGCTGTTCTTGCACCTGGCTTGGGAGTGTGCTGTGGCTGGCATCTGTTGTCTTGGGAGACAAATCCAAAACTGAGTCGGAAACAGTTCCATTTTAACGACCTGTCAATGTGTGGGTTTAAAAAAATCAGTGCCTTTCTTAATCTTTAAATAAAAATTAAATCCAGACACTGGAGATCATTACTAAAGCAGATGTTTGGGAAATTAAAATGATCATAAATGAACATAAATGTGCAAACAGAAACAATCCATCCCGTCCCTTAGTTCTGTTTCTGGCATTTCTTTTTACTCCAGAAGTAAGACTTGAAAGAGCTAGACCTGCATTTAAAAATATATTTTTTAAATGGTCATGTCATGTGCCATATGTCTTGAAGTTTGTTAGAAATAGGAACGCTCTCAAGAGCTGGATGGCTTCATGGTTAGAGAGGGGAAGTCTGTAACTGGAATAGATGGTTTTAGTAATTCACATGTCTTCAATTTGCACCATAGTCTTAGCATATTTCTTAGGAAGGTAGTAAAAATGGTGTGTGTTCTGTCCTTTCATGTGACCTTTCATGTGACCAATTTCCATAACATTCACCATCACAATGAGCTACTGAGTTAAGGATAAGGGGATAAAGAGAGCACCTCCTGGTTCTTCTTTTCCATTCTGCTTTAGAGGTTGTTTAGAAAATCTAATTATATATGTGCTGAAGAGCAGGTTTCCTAAGAGAGCGCTTTCCCCCTGGAATAGTGACCATATTGGGGAAAGCAGAGCTCAGAGGATGGTGAAGAGTTAGTTACGTGTACTCTCTTGCCTGGAAAGGTATTTATTTGCTTGGAAGACATGCTGCCCCAGTGTTTAAGGTCGGTCTCTCTCTCTCCAGCTGCCGGCAGAGTGAATGAGCACAAGCTGAATTGGATGAACTAGAATAAATATTAAAACTCATTACAAACAATTCGGGGGGGAAGGGAGGTGAGGTAATTAGGTTTATTTATTTATTTTTTCATTTATATTTGCCAGAAGTGTTGGGGATCAAACCTAGGACCTCATGGATGCTAAGCATGCTCTCTACCACTGAGCTATACCCTCTCCCCTAAAACTCATTTTGAAGCAGATCGTTTCTTTGAAAGTAAAGGCAAGTTATCAATAGAACTTGCACTTCCTACAGAAGGCCTGGGGTTGTTTTTACTCAGTATTTTCCGTTCAGTTTAGTCAGATTTCATTAGGTTCAGCTAGAATTAACGTAGAACAGTTTGTAACTAAATTTAATTTTTTAGGCCAGGGGTCAACAAACCCTGGCTTAATGGCCAAATCCAGCCCAA